TCTGTAAAGACTGACAGCCTTGGAGACCCTGTGGGCAGTTCCACTCTGTCCTCTAGGGGCACTGTGGGTCAGAATGGACTCCATGGCAATGGGTGTGGTTTAAATCACAGTGCTGTAAGTATGTCAAAGTGGAGGTTGGAAAACACTGAGGCCACGCATTGCTTGCTCTCTCGTAGGACATGTTCTTCAAGTACACGTGGAATAACTTCCTTCACACCCAGGTGGAGATCTGTGTGGCGCTGATTCTTGCAAGTCCCTTCGAAAACACAGAAAACGGCACAATCACTGAGCAGGACGCCGTGGGGGACAATTTGTTACTGAAACACGTAAGCTTATCTGGCCCTTCTCTCCTGGTTAGAGCATTCCCTGTTCCCTATGTCCTGAATTGAGGTTCAAGTACAGAGAGAAGATCCTTAGCTGTCAGGTCTGCATTGCACTGGACACCAGTGAAGTGGACCTGCTTTTGAGGACATGAATAGAGCTGAAGATCTGTAGTCACCTTCTGGTGCCGAGAAGGGCGAGGTGCTGCTGCGGGAGCCCCTTGGGGCTGCTTCCTCTTGGGTGATTCCGATTCCTCCGGGCTCTCAGCTGCTCTCGCTCTTGGAGTTCCTTCTCGTCCTTGGCTTACTCTCACCCAGGGAAACAGGGAAGGCTGCCTGGAGGAGGAGCACAGTGTATGGGGGTGATGAATGAATGATCCTGAGTCAGAGGGGCTGCTCGCTCCGGTCTTGCAGCCCCAGTGCGTCTCCGTGTGCAGAACTTTGTCAGACGCATATGTATGTGGCAGTGGGGTACAGGAACACTGCGTCTGAAGGCAGGGTGCTGACACTTAAGAAGCATGAGGTTGCTGTGGGTGTCTAACTTAAAGTTGTTATTTTTTGCCAGGGCATAATTTTCTTCTTCTCATTTTAGATTTGGTCACTTGCTGTCTTTCTGAGTCTAATTTTTATGGTCGCCAGAACCTGGCTTTGCTCTAGGTGGCGGCTCATGATGGCCCTGCACATGCCATGGTAGTCTCCCACTAGATGCACTGCTGGAGGGGACATGGGGGTCCTGTTTCAGGTCCCTGCAGTGTTTCAGGGCCTTGAGTGAGTTTATCACCACCTTGCCTTTGGTTCAGCTAGTCATTCACAGCTGTTTTTAGCTTGCAATGTTATGCATACCACTGTTCTGTTTCACCAGAGCTCACTCTCATTGAAAAGTTTTGACACTTTGACATTCATTGAGATGTTAACCAGAATGTTCTTTTTATTTCAGCTCTTTCAAAAATGTCAGTTAATAGAACGAATACTTGAAGCCTGGGAGATGAACGAGAAGAAACAGTAAGCAATTAAGACTTCAGCTTGACTTACAGTTTGAAAAATACCTCCCCCTTCAGTGCCCTAGTCAACAGTGCGTCCTGGTGGTGCATCGGTTAAGCACTCAGCTGCCCCTGGAAATCTTGGCAGTTCAAGCGCACCTGCTGCTCTGTGGGAAGAAGCTCTAACAGTGTCCTTCGCTGGAGATGGCAGCCTGGGAAACCCAGTGGGGCAGTGGGACTCTGTCCTGCAGGATGGCGAGGAGTTGGAATCGAGTCCATGGCAGTGGGTTTTTGTTTGCTGTTTTGCCATGGTCAGAGAAAAACGAAAAGAACTGCACGACACAGGCCACATCATAGTGTCAGCAGCTCTCAGGACTTCTGGAATGTTGCCTCGTGACAGTGCTTTCCTTTTTGTGTGTGGATGGGTATCTGTTTCGTTTTGTTCAAGCAGGCACTGCTGGATTTTTTTTTTTCTTTCAAATTTTATTTTTAAAATTATGATTTGCGTGAAGGTTTACAGAGCAAGTTCATTTTCTATTCACCAGTTTGTGCACATTTTGTTTCATGTTGATTGCACCCTCACAGTGTAACAGCTCTTTTTCCACTTCCTCCCTGTGGTTGCCTTTTCCTCTGTCCTTCTTTCCTGCGCATTCCTGCCCCTAAGCTATTTCCCTGTGCAAACAGTACCCTTCTGCTCTCCCGTGGTTGGTCTAAGGAGTGGACCTCTCTGGTATAACTGTTTACCTGTAGGCCTGCCACAGGAGTGAGTGAGTTCAGTTCCTGGCCCGAAGGATGCCTACGTGACAGTGGTTTTTCTAACAGTTTCTTTTTAGGCACCCCCTCTCCTCCGCCTGCAGTCATCCCACTTCTCTTTATGGGAAACTGGGGAGAAGGGAGTCCCCCCTGCCGCTGTGCTGCCTTGGGGGCTTTCTGGTCCTTTGGAGTGGCTGTTCTGAAGGAGTGATGTGGAGTGAATGAAGGAGGGTTGTGAAGGAAGGCTCTCCTTGGTGACACGTTGGGCTGGTTTTCCTCTCTGGCCAGAACATGTACAGGGCGCGTATCTGTTCTAGAGCAGGGGCTTCCGGCATGGGGAGCACCTTAGGGGGGCTCCTGGGAAATTGATTGACCTGACTGGCAGGGTCGTTTGTGGGAGGCCTTGATGCTTGTGTGAACAGTTCTGTCGCATGGCACCCTTTTCAGGGTGGGCGTGTCTGCACTAGGAGTTGATGCCTGGGAGCTGTAAGAGCCCAAAGCCTCTGAAGCAGGTTGCAGGACGTGGTCCTCTTGTGTATTTGAGTTGGGTTTGTTGATGGGTTAGTCTCATACCATCAGGATTGTCCTCCGTCCTTGGACAGTTTTATGAATTCTGACAGTGCGTGCAGGGGTACAAGCCCTGCCACAATCCAAAAGTGGACCATCTCCGTCACCTCCACAAGTTGTCCCAGGCCCCTGGGTAGTTGCCATGGGTCTCTGTTCACACTCGCCTTGTCAGGCAGGGCCCCCGGGAGCTGGGGCACTCATGGCCACTGTCAGCTCTCCTCTGTGAGCGTCGGTGTTTTAATTGCTTGAGGAACCGGCAGCGCTTGGGTTGGACTGTGTGCAGAGTTGGGCCTTTTGGTAGTGTGTCCCAGAGGCCAAGTCGCGCTAGACAGAGGAGGCTCCTTTGGTGGGGCTGCGGGCGCCCAGACCAGCAGCGTCTCTGGTCGTGTGTGCGACCTGCCTCACCGAGCTCCCCTCCACTGCTGCCTCATCGGCCAGAGCTTGTGCTTCAGAGTGCGCTCTCCTCTCCTCACGAGCTCCTTCTGAGGGTGTGGCTAACAGGCCCCTGATGGCCCAGCACCAGCTTCTCTGACGTTTCCTTGAACCAGAAGCCTCCAAGAACAGAAGCCCTGGATAGGAAACCTGCAGGTGGCCCTTGGTTTTCAGCCGCTGGCTTGAGGGAACGTGGCCAAGCATCAGCTGAGAGAACAGCTGGATGACTGTAAGCCTGCAGCGAGCCTGTCACTCAGTGAGGTCGCCCTGAGGCTCCAGCTCTCAGGTGCCCAGCCCCTGAGGTCATCTACCTGACGGTGTCTCTCAGGTGAGCGGCAGGCAGGCGGAGCCAGGGCTGTTGGCAGTGGCTCCTGCCACATCCCTTCTCCACTCGTCAGCACCTGCTTTGCTTTGTTCCCTGCTGCCTTTGGTTTGATAGAATTAAGTCTTGACACTTGTAAATAGAGGAATCACAGAAACAGGAAACGTTTGTCTGAATGTAAAGGTTGGTGTGACTGGGCAGCCAGACCTTGAATGGGCATGGAGGCATGACGGTTAGCTTTCCTTACCTGGGTTCTAAGCAGTTTATGGAAAAGAGAAAGTTGTCTCCCTCTTTTTCTCTTGGCCAGATCCTCAAATCCGCCAATGTGTTAACTTGAGAAATGCCTTTAGTACTTATTATCTCTGATGGTTAGTTGATCTATTTAAAATTAAATGTTTTTCTGGGAAATGAACTAGCAGAATTACTCAGTTCTGTGGGCAGCAACAATCTGATTAGAGGCTGAAGACGTGTTTTACACAAAGATACCAGGGAAGGTCCTAAAACATAGGTGTCTATGAGTATTTGTTGCTGTTTTAAAGAAAGTTTATTGCTTTTGTTGTTGTTGTTGTTATTTTGCCGTCGAGTCGGCCCTGACTCATAGCGACCCCTCCTTGGGTTTCCGAGGCAGTATCACTACGGAAGTAGATTGCCCCATCTTCCTTCCGAGG